GAAAATTGATGTTTTCCTCTCTCCTTTTTTTCTATCCCAGTTTGCACCATTTTTCATTAGATTCGTAATAGAGTCTAGTATGCAGGGACATCTGTAATTGCCAGGTTTTCTGTTCTTGTTTTAATGGCAGCTTATCTCAGGTGTGGTGACCAAGGCACTCTGGCCACAGAGCTGCGTTTGTCTGGATAGTCTGTAACATGATGCCAAGATAGTAATGAAAGATCAGTTTATTAGGGAGTTGCAACATCAGTCCTTTCTTTAAAGACAGGTTGCCTTTATATAACTTGCTCAGTCAATGTGAAATTCGTCCTGAATCATCTCATTGTTAAGCTCTGGATAAACTGACCAAACTGGCAAGGGATATTATTGTTCCATTCAAATCAGTTTTGACCTATGGTGACACATCTATGCTGTAGATTTAATGCAGTTTGAGACCACTTTAACTTTCGTGGCTCAGTGGCAACTATGAAAACATGAGATTTGTAGTTTTGTGATGCACCATCACTATTTGGGAGAAAAGGCTAAATACTTGTAAAACTGTAACTTCCCTGATGGCATAGCATTGAACCATGGCAGCAGAAGTGTTGTCAAACTTCATTAATTCTACAGTTTAGATCAGGTATGGGCAAACTTCTGTCCTCCAGGTGTTTTGGACTTCAACTCACACAATTCCTAACAGCCTGTAAGCTGGCTGGGATTTCTGAGTGTTAGAGTCCAAAATACCTGGAGGGCCGAAGATTGCCCATGCATGGTGTAGATGAATTCCAAGAGGTCCTCAAGAGTCTCAGTAAGCAACTTCACTGCTTGTATCTTGCAAATTATCTCCTTTCTTCCTTGATTTAATCAATCCTTCTATAATACAGCCTTCCTCATTTCCTGTTGCCTTCTAAAATACTGAATCAAAAACTACCCAAATGAGCAAGTATTCTTACTTTTAGCCATTGAACATTGCTAGTAAATAGCATACTTTCCCTTCCCAACCCAACATTTTTCTCCACAGCTTCAGATCTGTGAAATGAATTGGTTGTTCTTAGTGCAGCATTTCAATCTGGCATATGGAAAAGATGGATAACTTTGGTGTGGATAACCTGGTAATTGAAAGTATAATTCATTTGTCAGTGATTATTTCACTTTACCTCTTAGGTCTGCATCTGCTGAAAAATAGTGGTTCAATTTGCCCTCACCAAGAGATTAATACATATATTTTTGCAATGAAGGGGCAAGCTTTCTAATGATAATATGCATTTTATCTGTTTTATAATTAAACCCTCGAGGCATCAGAGATATGTGCACAATAAGAATATAAACCTCTGTTTATGAATCGTCTAAAAAGCTTTCCCCCCTACCGAGTGAGATTGTCAGGGATTTTGTGCATTTTACCATTCAGGACAGTATTGAATAACTAATGTTTGCACTGAAATCATGAGAAGTAGAAAAATAAATCTCATGAGAAACAAAGATAGGGCTAAAGATGTTACAAACGGACAACCCCCACAATTTCATGGCATTAAGCCATGGCAGTTATTGATGCCAAACTACAGATCCACCCTACTATATTCTGTCCTAGGCAAGTCTTATGTGGGTGCCTCATTTTAGGAAGAATATTGACATGTTAGAGCAGATTCAGAGAAGGGCAACAAGGATAAGAGATACAAAGAACAAAGTCTATGAGGAATGGTTCACAATGTAGGGCATCTTCAGAGGTGATGTTATTTCTCTAAAGGGCTGCCACAGAGAGGAGGACACAGATTGATCTCTGTTGTCCCAGAGATCAGGCTGGGCTTAAATGATTTTAAGATATAGGAGCGCAAATTTCACTTGGACATTAGAAGGAACTTTTCATCAATATGACATTGGAACCAATTATATAGGGGGTGGTGGGGTCTGTGGACGGCCCCAGAGAAAGGCTGGAGAAATATGATACCTGCTAGGTATCCTCTTGTACAGTGATTCCCAAACTCTAATCCTCCTTTGGAAAATGGCATTGATTAACTTTTGGAAAACACCATTTGGAGATCAAACTTTTAGAAAAGCATGACCTTTCAGAGAAGAGCCAAAAACTCTTTAGAATAGAATCTTTTGTGGTATACAACCAGATATAATTATGCAAGGCAGTGGTTTCAGTTGTTAGACTGAATAACCTGTTATCTCTGTTCGGTTAGGATAACAAAGATTTTGCCAGTGCTTCAGAAGCATTTTTTCAGTGCCCTATATATATATATATATATATATATATATATATATATATATATATACACACACACACACACACACACACACACACACACACACACACACCCTCCAATAAAACAACTTGTTTTATATCATGCACTCAAGAGACAAAAATGAAGTAGGCTTTGATAAAAATAACATATTGGGTTTACTCACAATTTTCATATGTTCAGCATACACAGGTACAAAACGTATCAGTCCAGTTTCAGATATGTTTGAGATAGTTCTCTGTGCCATTTGGCCAGGGCATCTCTCTTATAACAATAGGTCACATAGTCAAAAGGAGAGAGAGCATGTGGTCTGCAGCCTCTTCTATAACTTCTCAGAAACCATAGAGTAAAGGAAGCTGCATACCAGAATATACATGCAGGAAACAGTAAGCAACTGGATCATAGATAAACATATTACTAGAGAAGGCTTGAAGAAGGTTGTAATTTCCAACATCCTCCAGATCTTTTGGACTTCAACTCCCAGCAGCCTCAGCCACTTCAGCCAATTGTCAGAGATTCTTAGAACTGAAGTCCAAAACACCTGGAGGACCACAGTTTGGGAATCACTGCTTAGGTGGATTCTCTGCATAGAGCAGGATGTTGGTTTCGATCACTGATGAGACCTCCCTAATTTTGTAATTCTGTGCTGTAAATCTTAGGCCAATTTCACAACACAGTCGCCTGATTCAGTTTTGGGAACTTTGCAGTAGAATAAATGCTCTGGCATGCACTATGTGATGGTTTACACCTTTATTGGAAATGCCTCTTTCGGTGAATGGGCACAATGGCTTAAATGGATAGGTTTAAATTGTTTTTATTTTCCTCCAAGGAGCTTAGCACAAATGTGTGTGTTCCCCCCACCACAGTTTTATTTGTGCAAAAAATGTTAAGGAAGTGGATCTCAACCTTTGATTCTCCAGATGTTTTGGCCTTCAACTTCCAGAAATCCTAACAACTGAAAAACTGGCTGGAATTTCTGGGAGTTGTAGACCAAAACACCTGGGGACCCACAGGTTGAGAACCACTGTGTTAAGGTATGTTAACCTGACCGATAGTAAGTGGCCCATTCTTACTCAGTGGGTTCAAGGCTGAGTGTGGGTTTGCGCTCAGGTCTGCTGGGCACCAAAGATGTGGCTACTGGAGTGAAGACATTGTCCCCCTTCAAGAATTGTGCCCTCCCTGGTAAAATTCTCCTTATTTTTTCCGATTTTTGGCATTGCAGTAACAAAGCTTTGTTTGAACATGTTGAAATAAAGTTTAGCCGTCTAGACTAAATGAGCAAGCAAAGTGAATGAGGAAATGAGATCTCAAGACATGAGAGAGCTAGAAGTAAATTATTTACAATTTTTAATTTTCTGTAATGTTAGAAATTTGGAGACTGAAGAGAAATTTAATTGGAAACAGGATTTTTATTGCCATTCCTATAGCTACACAGTTGCTGGGTTCTAGGACGTACTTTATAATCCAGAACATGAGACTTCAAAGTGAGGTGCTAATAGTATCCCTTTCAAACAATTGACATAATGACATATACTATTATTTTCCCAATGCAATATAAAGCATTTATTTATTCATTTCTTCCAAATGATCTTGGGGATCATTCTTGGGTAATTCTTAGAAATGCATGAACATTTAATCATTTTTAAAGGTTTAAAACAAGTAACTACAAGCAATATGCTACAGCAACATTAGCTGAATCCGCATTGTTGTAGCATCAGTTTGTGGAATGTCCCTGACATGTTGTTTTCAGATACTTCTGCAGACAAAATGGGTTGGGGCTTATATTATGGATATATGAAGGAATTTTATTCAGAGAGTGGGGCCCATGTTATGAGTGAAATGTTGTGCCAAGGAAGTCCAGAAGAATTGTGAATGTGAGTTTAGTATGTAAACAGTAGTTAGTCATGAAGTCTGATTGGTTTGCCAAAGAAATAAACAATAGCTAGCAACATTTAAATTGGCATCCAAAACCATAGTTATTCACAAAGCAAACAAAAATGAACTTGCATGAAACATTTTAAAAAAGCAATCACATGGAGGTCATAAAAGTAGCTGATTTTAAAAGTCGGTATAATTCATTGGCATAACTCCATCACAGATCCTTCAGGAAGAAAAAATTAAAACAAACACAGATGGTATCAAATGCCTGGTTTTATAAAAATATTTTTGTAATCTTTTAGGGGCCCCCTGTGAAGGATATAACAGAAGGTTGAAAACATTGCTGAGAAATTCTTGCTCACTGTGAATACCCAATTAACTTACCTTGGTGGGAGAATGTAGCATCAACATCTGTGGTTGAATGGTGTGCATGGTAGATTGAATTGGATGTACAGTATATATAACATGTGAATCCCATGTCAGAAATGGCTTTTGACATAAGAACTTGAGATCAGAAACAGAGGCAAACCGGTACCAATAGAACAAGACCAAAATATATCTGCTGGAGTGGGCTGACCTTTCCTGAAGGTGACCAGTTAAATACCAGTTAAACTTTAAAGGTATTATTACAGGAGAGCCCCATTTATAGCACATAGTAGTAGCCCAATTGGCAGGTTATTAGAACATACCTGACCACAAGTGGTTGAATCCTCCAAGGAAAGGTAGTGCTAGTAATGCTGTCTATGGCTAAAGATGATGAAAGTTATGCCCTCTATTGTCTTGAGGGAGCCTTGGAGAGGCTTGCTCTCGCAGTTATCAACAGAGATAACCACTTGTAGAATTGGAAGATTAAGCATGGTGACTCAATCCTTTTTAATGTGTGTGTGTTTCTTCAAACAGCCTTGACTCCGTGCTTCCAGAGTCTGGGATTGTGGCCGACATTGACTTGGAGAATATCCTCTCCCTGAACAGCGACAACTTCTACGAGCTCAAGAGCCAGCCTATTGGTGTCAGGTAGGAAAGCAGAGCAGTAGCCAACTCATTTGTTCGATCAACCATCTTGGGGACTTTCAAGTCTTGGTGGGTGGGGAGGAAAAAAAGAAAAGTAAAGATGTTCCTCAACTATTTTCTCCTCTTGTTATGGCAGTTCACAAGGAACCAAAGGCCAATTAACCCTTCAAATAGGTTGCATTGGAAGGAGACAGTACATTCGTATATTCACACAAATCTTATCTTCTATGCATTACCCAACTCTCTTTGATATAACTTGCCAGTGCTTCAAGAACTAAATGTTGGTCACTTCAGCTTCTCCATTGTTTTTACTATTTTAATTGCAGGCAGGTTAGTAGAGACCCTGGGATAATGCTGCATTTAGGTCATCTCTGTTATTTTTATATGGCCTCTGTTTGTTAGTATAGCTCTGCAGCCCATTTGAGGACTGTGACCTTGTAGAGAGACAAAGATAAGACAAAATTAGATTGAACTAGGCTCATAAATCTTTTTTATTGCTTTAGGTTTTTTTCTGCAGCAGTGACTCCTATTTTCCTCACAGGTCAAAGCTGCCATAACAATTAACGTTTCTTTTTATTTAGACGTAGTCAGATAGACACACAGAGTGTTTAGGAAATGACTGACACTTCTGCCAACGCAGCCATTTTTAATGCATGTTTGTTAAGTTCAGAATGTGAGCTATTGCTGTTTGTTAGCATGTGCCTCGAAATCATTTCAAACATATGACAACAGTAAAGCAAACTTATCACAGGGTTTTCAGAGGCTGAGAGTGTGTGACTCACCTAAGATCACCCAGAAGGTGTTTTTTTTAACAAAGCAGGGAATCGAACCCAGATTTGTACTCCAATACTCAAAACACTATAGAATTCCTTAAATTGCAGTAATATTGGTATTTTTTCAAGAATAGTGTGGTAAAACTGATGACAAGTCATGGTCTATTTGGGTTATTGATTTTTTTGTGCACATGCAGATATTCCAATTTGCATCATTGGATGGACAGCAATGCTTTGAATCGTGCCTCTCATTTGATTATCGCTGCTCTCTCATCCACCCCTTCAGGCGTTTCCACACTTTTTATACTCCAAAAAAGCAGGTCTAGGTTACCTGTGGCCCTCCAGGTAGTATGGATTCAACATTGAATTACCAATGAGAGAGGATGCTGGGAACTGAAATCCAAAATGTATTGGCAGTTGCTAGTGTAAATCACATATTGAAAAGAGTTTGCTTTGTTAGGAATTGATCCAAACTGTAGGCTGGTGACTAGAGCCTGGTAACATAATTTTTATTATGGGTTACAGCTTCCAGACATCCCCAGCCAACAATGAAAATAGTACTGCCTGTTTTGGCTAAAGATCTGTCTTTTTACTCAGGCATTGACTGTTCATTTTCTTTAATTCGTAAACAGAAGCAGCAGGTGGCTTCCATGTGGATGCAATGTTGAATTTACGCGGGGCTTGAGTCCAAACTTCAGAGTACTGAAGCTTTTTTGGGAATAGGGCTCAGCACCTTGGATACAGTTTGTAATAAAACCTGGAATTGATTCACTGCCCTTATCTTGGGGACAGCTGGCTTTACTTTTCACTTGTGCTTTTTTCCATGGATTGTAGTGCTGTTACTGTTTTATTTTATGAGAACTATCTGTATCGAAGACTGCTTAATATTATTACTATTACTATTATTATTGTTGTTATTATTACTATTATTGGAGCCCTAGGTGGCACCGCGGGTTAATTTGCTGAGCTGCTGAACTCGCTGACTGAAAGGTTGGCGGTTCGAATCTGGGGAGTGGGGTGAGATTCCGCTGTTAGCCCCAGCTTCTGTTAACCTAGCAGTTTGAAAACATGCAAATGTGAGTAGATCAATAGGTACCTCTTGGCAGGAAGTTAATGACGCTTCTTGCAGTCATGCTGGCCACATGACCTAGGAGGCGTCTATGGACAACACCGACTTTTTGGCTTAGAAATGGAGATGAGCACCACCTCCCAGGGTGGGACTGGAATAGACCTAATGTCAAGGGGAAACCTTTACCTTATTATTATTATTATTATTAATACCCTGTTTTATCTCCCCAAAGGGAACTCAAAGTGGCTTGACATAAAAGCATTAGTATACAATTTAAAATATATAAATGTATAAACATTAAAAAGAATTAAACACAAACAGCACTGAAACATCCACAGTTAAAATCCAGACACACACACACACACACACACACACACACACACATACATTTTAAAATGCAAACAGTATGCAAATATTGGAATTCCAGTTATGAAAAATATAAAAAGTGAGCTTTCTAAGATCTTTCGGTCACTAAGCTGAGGGTAGTATTACGAATCAGTGTTGTACATGGTGGAGGAAGGTTTAACCCTCTGGATGTTGTTGGATTGCAACTCCCATCACACCTACCTAGTGGTTGGGAGTCATTACTGTAGTCCAATAACATCTCAAGGAGACATATACAGAATGCAGCCTTTCAGCTGCCGTTGTCCTGTAGCTCCCATATTTCCTTATATTGAACATTAATTAAGCTGGCTGAGTATAGAGCTGATGAGAATCACATTCCAGCAGTGGCAAGAAGGAATGCTCTCTATCTCTGTGGCAGAAGCTGGTTCTGATCTCTGACCGATGTTAACCTTTGGACTTTGCAAGTCAGCCAGTCATCTCCTGCAGGGCAAACAATGGGAAGAGAAGCAAATAAGGCAAGGGGAAATTCCCATTCTCTGTGAACCCCAAGCTATCTCCAGCATTCAATTTCCTCTGGTGATTTAAGAACGGATACTGGGTTCCCCCAAATGATTTTCCTATAATATGGATGCCTTTTGAATGTGTACTGAAGACTGAATCACCTGGTGCCCATTGATCACACATGAAGTTTGCCATGCATACATGTGTGTGCTGGGATGTTACAGTTGGTCACAGCTTTCTAGGACTTAACATTTACGCAGCAAATCCACTGTGCACAATGTGATTGACAGTGTGTTGTTGCTAAACAAGGGACCATGCAAATTCCCTACTCAGCAATTTCATTTTCCACTCTGCAGTCAGAAAAACATTGTCTTATTGTATTCCCTGTGCATTGGTCACCTTGCAGAGTAATGTAATGAAAAGGCAAGTCCCTGCTCCAAGGAGGTTGCAGATACAGCTTAAATAAGAAGGAGGAAGCGATAGCGGGGTGGGGAGATCTCCAAGTTGTGAATGTGAGCAAGTTAAGTAATTTGTGCTCAGATATTGTTAAGTCGGAGGATATGTATGGTTCCAGTTCTATAACTGGGGAAAAATTACTTGAAGCAACTTTATTTCCTCTTTTCAGCAGAATGTAGGATTTAATGTATTGTCGAAGGCTTTCATGGCCGGAATCACTGGGTTGTTGTAGGCTTTTTCGGGCTATAAGGCCATGTTATAGAGGCATTTCTCCTGATACAGGAGAAACGTCAGGAGAAATGCCTCTAGAACATGGCCATATAGCCCGAAAAAAACTACAACAATCCAATGTAGGATTTTTTAATGAAGAAAAAGCTGGTATGTTGGGCACTGAAGTGGGAAAGCATATAGTGAGGACCAGGTATGCAGAATCTCTGGCCTGTAAACCTAGTATTACCTTCAGAGGTTTTCTGCCCTATCTGAAGCTTCTGCTCTTATCACCCATTGATGATTTTGAGATAAGAGGCTATTTAAAGCACTTTTATATATAAATGAGATCTGTTTCTTAGTCCAAAAGACTAATTGTATTGTAGGTGGATTAGGAGGATAGAAGGAGATGGATTTGAGTGCTCTAGTTAAAGGACTGTGACCAATCAGTGAAGATACCTTCTTAACTAGACAAACAATTCTTGCTTTGTGTGTGTTTGTGGTTGGATTGCATTTTTAATCCCCCGACTATTCGAAGTTCTATGGAAGGTGTACAGTCTGTTAAAAAATATATGTAATACATCAATAATACAATGTAACAATGACTAAACTCAGTTGAACGGGGAAGGGGAAGTTCTTTTGTGACATTTTTCAAAATAATAAATAATAATAAAACTTTATACCCAGCCACCATCTCCCCAAGGGGACTCAGGGCGGCTTACATGAGGCCAAACCCAACAACACATCAGTAAAAACAACTAAGCAATAAGAAAATAAAACAATACAATTAATATAACTCACATATAGACAATAACATGCAATTTAAAAAAAAATGGCCGGGCCAGATGTAGTAGTTTAAAAATTTAAAAATAAACGCTGGGCATGAACAGAGATAGGATGCATCTAAACAGGAGGGTTTTAAAAGAAATGTAGGGAGAGCAACCCAACAGATAGTTAAAGTGCTTCTGAGGACATTTTGCGGGGAATTGTTTCCTTTATTCAGGGAAGGCAGACTGGGACAGCCACGTTTTCAGCCTCCTCCTAAAGACTGCCAATGTGGGGGCTTGCCTAATATCATTGGGAAGTGAGTTCCAGAGTTGGGAGGCCACCATAGAGAAGGCCCTCTCCCAAGTCCCACCAATTGCGCCTGTGAAGGGGACGAGAGCGAGAGCAGGGCCTCATGAACCATAGCTTCCATCTTGTGTCTAAAGAAGTGAGCTGTAGTCCATGAAAGCTGCTGCTGAAATGGTTGGGTTAATGTTAATGGTGCTACAACAGAGTCCTTTTTCCTTCCCATTTTTGTTTCTAAAACAGGACGAAACTTTTTGAAAACAAATAAAGTAGTTTCAGTTCACTGTATTTCTGCCCCAGACATTTCGCTTCTCCTCCCATTTTCAAGGGGTGCAAGAAGTTCTCTCCCCCCCCCATCCTGTTATTGTTGGCCTTCAAGTCATTTGAAGTAATCATCTTGTAGTTTGAAGTACATGGGTACCTAAAGTGACCCTTTCATGAGGTTTTTCTGGGGCTGAGAGTGTGTGATTTCTCCACAGACACTCACCAGGTTTCCATAGAGAAGTGGGGAATCAAAACCTGGTTTCCAGTGTTTTCTTCCATATGTCCGCTTTTTTGTTGAAGCTCAGTTTCTGGTAGATGCCCGACTTCAGTATTTTGTGCCATGGCCTGTGGAACAGCTGCAGTTACTCTATCTCACTTGTGGATTTAGATCCATTTTGAAGAGGTTTGTTCTAGATACATAGGAGGCATGTTAACCAACACAGCCAGATAGGTATTGCTACTCCCAGAACCCACTAGCAAGCAAGGCATTCTGGCTGGCGGACTAAGTTCACACATACAAACATACAGAAGTTTGAGCACAGCATAGATTGGGAAACTGGCCAGAGCTGAAGACTGAATTTGACCTGCCAGTCTTTTCATCCAGCCTATAACAGAATCCAGGCAGAGTCTTCCCTGACACTGAAGCCTAGCCTTCCACCCAAGATTGAATACATAGCCCCCCCTCCCCAATTCTTGGTGTCTTGGTTTTTAAGCCTATGCATGGAGTTATTTTGAGGACTGATTCAGAAAATTGCATTGGATAGACTGCATCAGCTCTAGTTTCTTAGATATGGTTACCATGATTTTCTGTGGACGAGGAGATGAAAACTGGTAGATGGCATATATTCTGTATCTGAAAACCTAGAGCTGATAAGGGAAAACTGGTGCCTTTTTGGAATCAACAGGTTCAATATACATACAACTGAGCTAACGTTTGAGCCACCAAAATAAGTAATATGGCTTAAACAAAATGCAATTTAAATAGTATAAAACAAAGAGTTATAAAAACAACAATAACCATCCTATAATACAAATTAGAACAACATCATTAAAGGGGAAATTTAAGGGTTGCCAGAGTAAAAAACTGAGGTTGGCTCCTGTGCTTTTAATACTTGTGTAGAAAGAGAATTTCAGTTGGTGTTGCTTGTCAGACAACCAAATAACAAGCAACACAGGCTGAAATTCCCACTTCTACTTTGGCAACCTTAGATATAAACCTAGTTTATATTTAAATAAAAGTAGGACAATAATGCACTTTCTTTTTTTCTTTCATCCCATGACAACCAAAATGTTCTGTTAAAGGAAATGAGGGTGGCAAAAGGCAGGACATCTCCTGTCAGAAAGCCACATATGAGACAACTTGGTTAACTGATACCTCTTTCCTTCTGTAATAGCTGTGAGGGTCAAAGAAGACAAAACTACTAAATATTGAGAAAAACATTGAAACATATAAAATGTATTTAAAAAAGGAAAGGAAACTTTGAAGCTTATGTACACAACCAATGCCAGGACTAGCAAAACAGTCCTAGATTACCTATTGATTTAAAATACAAAAAATAGCAAAAGTTGAAAAAAACCCCAAATTAATGTTTTATAAAACCCGAGAGACATAATTTTCAACACAGTACAAAATTTAAAGCATTCCTTTCTTTAATTTTGTAAATTACTGTGGAAAAGCTCAGAATATCACTACTGTTGTAGTTAACAGTAAGGATTGATAGCTGAGCAAAGAACCATAATTTGGGTTATAAAATTCTTGCTTTAATAAAAATCCTTAAACACTGAAAAAAAGAAGAAGACAGAATGTCCAAGAAACCGTGAGCAATGAAACAGTATTGATACCGATTGGAAAATCCTGTTGGGAAATGCCTCCTCTGCCTGCCATGTTCATAATAATAATAATAATAATAATAATAATAATAATAATAATAATAATAATAATACAACAACAACAACAACAACAACAACAATGGATTGACGATGTTGCAATCCCAGGTGATAGCAGGTTTGAAGAGAAACAACTGGAAAAGCTGACACGATATGAGGATTTAAAGATCGAACTGCAAAGACTCTGGCACAAGCCAGTCAAGGTGGTCCCAGTGGTGATCGGCACACTGGGTGCAGTGCCTAAAGACCTTGGCCTGCACTTAAACACCATTGGCGCGGACAAAATTACCATCTGCTAGTTGCAGGCCACCTTACTGGGATCTGCACGCATTATTTACCGATACATCACACAGTCCTAGACACTTGGGAAGTGTCCAATGTGTGATCCCATTCAACAGCCAGCAGAGTGTCTGCTGTGGACTCATCTTGTTGTGTTTCAAATAATAATAATAGTAATGAAGCAGTACACATCAAAAACAAAAACTAGAGCAGTTTTCTTCTATGGTTAACTGATGAGGGGGACCTGCAGTTATTTTTTTCCACCAAAACTGTGGCCACTGGGTAAAATGATTTCCTTTCTGTATCCTTTCTAAGTACTGGTCCAGGGATCCCCCCTTTGAACAATACTCCTTGCAGAGCTCCATGTAGCAGTACCACCATCTGCTGGTGGCTAATAAACCAACTATTATTTATTACAGAGTTTAGTTATTTTGCTGAAATACAGGCAGTCCCTGAGTTACAAACATCCAACTTACAAATGATTCCTCATATGTGCACTGCGCATGGCTCTGGCTGTTGAGGGATGATAACCCTGGTGGTTGCTGATCTCCCTGTTCTATGTTCTTGCAGCCCGCCAAGTGCTCCGTCGCAAGGTCCCAGCATGTCGTCGCGGGTGCTTCTCCGCCAGCAGCTGATGCGGGCACAGACCCAGGAGCAAGAGCGCCGGGAGCAGCAGCAAGCTGCACAGTTCACCCCTACACCCCTGGCGCCTTCCACACCTGCCATTTCTGTGAGCCCACTGGCTCGCCCTGCACCTGCCCAGGTCCCTGTGGAGGTATTGAAGGTAAGAGAAAGAGACCGGTACCAAGCCTCAGTCTGGGGGACACAGTATTGCTTTTGATTCTGCTGAGAAGGTGTGGAAGGAAGGGGAAAGCACTGGATGAGATTGGGGAGCCCATCCCCAATCTCATCCAGTTGCACACTGGTTGGATGAGATAGGGGACATCCATCTTCTCCAGTTGCATACTGATTGTAGCTTCAAATGGCGTGTGGGTTGGCTGGAGCAGGCTATTTGCTTGTAGAACCTATTTTTTTTCTATCCCATTTGTGAGATTCCTGTTGGTGTAGCACAAGGGTGGGCAACATTAGCAGTTGAGCAAGCCATGGCCATTTTAGGAGATCTCAGGCCATCTTTGCTCCCCTAAATAAACTAATTGCAATAATCTGATTGCCCTTCTGATACTCAGTCTCTAATAACAGAAGTGATTAAGTGGCCAAGTTAGTTTAGAATTCAAGATTTTTACTAGAGATATGTCTCAGCATTGCTTTTTTAAGTCCCAAGGCTGGTGCACGGTGAGGCATTTCTCGCTGGTGGCAGATTGTGGAAGCTATGAAAAAGCAGATGTTTCATGTTTGTTTGCTATTACCAGATATGCTTTCACAATATACAGTTATAGCACTGTGGTGCCACTCTAACTGCCATGGCTATATTCTTTGGAGTCCTGGGATTTGCAGTTTTGGGAGTGGAGCCTCTATAATTCCCAGACAGAGAATACTTTGCTGGTGCCTCTGACCAAACTACAATCCTCAGGAGTACAGAGAATACAGTCATGGCAACTAAAGTAGAACATTACTATAATTATACAGTGTAAAAGAAACCTGGATATTTTTTGTACTTCCAGGAATGAATAGTATTTACTTTGAGACTTTCTGCTTCAGGTGTCAGCTTTTGACTGCCTTTTTAGTACTATGATCTCGAAGGTCCCGAAGGGTGTCATTTGCTTCTTTGTCTCAGATGGCAAAGTATCACAGGCTGCTATTGATTGATTGAATTTATATTTTACCTTCTCTCAAGATGGAATTCAAGGTGGCTTTTAATAGGTTAAAGCGTTAGTTTACAAGGGTTACAAATAAATTGTTATCCTTATTATAATAATTATTATTATTATGTAATTTTGAAAAAATATAAAATGATTAAAATATATGTAAAACATAATTTCCAGTAAAAGATCAAAGATACAGTACACTACATTGCAAACACACTACTGCTCCAGACTTAACATTGAAATGCTTTAGATTTAGAAATGTATCTTCTATGCCTGAAAAGACTGTCATCCTCCACCTGAATGGCCTGGCTAACACTGTGTCCCTTCTCCTTCTCTGCCCCACCTTGCTTAGGTTCAGACTCACCTGGAGAACCCCACCAAGTACCACATCCAGCAAGCTCAGCGGCAGCAGGTCAAGCAGTACCTCTCCACTGCCATGGGCAACAAAATGGCAACCCAGGCCTTAGCTGGGGCCAGCCCAGGGGCACCACCTTCCTGCTCCCCACAGGCTGCCTCTGCCCCTGAGTCTCAACATGGTTTGACTCAGCAGCAGCCGCAACAGCAGGGAGTGGCAGGTGGGACTGGGAGTGCCCCCAATAGCCCCATGGCTATGCTGAACATTGGCTCCAGCTCTGAGAAAGAGGTGAGTATCCTCCCACCCCTTACTAGTTTCCCTCAGTTTTGCTGGCATCTCCTTGCTTTCTCAAGTATTTCCAGTAGGCTGTATTTTTCATTGTGGTTTATGTTTTCTGCTCTTTTTTCCCTTTCATTTGTCAGATTGATGATGTCATAGATGAAATTATCAGCCTCGAATCCAGCTACAATGATTATGGCGGTCTACAGATGCCTAGCACTGTGAGTAGAATATTTTTTCCTGCTAAGTTTGCTTAAGGGAAAAATGTGTTTACAGTATGCAGTTATACTGCTTTGATTCCTCTTCAGCCCCCTTGCCTGCATAGAATCATAGAGTTGTAAAAGACCCAAAGGGCCATTCACAATCAAAACACCCAACAGATGATCATCAAATTTCTGCTTAAAAATATCCAGAGAAAAAAACTCCACCACTCTGTGCGAAATAATAAATAAATACTTTATTTGTACTCCACCACCATCTCCTATAGGGACTCAGGGCGGCTCACAAAATAGCACACAAAGATGCCATACATAAAATACATAATACATAAAATACAACAACATAAAACAATAATAACATTACATAAACCAGGTATATAAATTGGGTAAAACAGCCTCAAAACAGAATCTGTTAAAAGATCCATGTGATCAGTATAGCAGCATACTCCACTGCCAAACAACTCTTACTGTTAGGAAGTTCTTCCTAATGCTTAGGCGGAGCTTGTAGTTTCCTGAGAAATCAAAGGAGGCACTTTCTGGCTGAGAATGCTTAATTAATTAATTAATTAATTAACTTTATTTATATACCGCTTTTCTCAGCCCTCAGGCGACTCAAAGCGGTGAACAACATCGATACAAAACATCACGAGACAAGTATAGGGCAATTAAAAACAATTGTAACATAAATCATTAAACATCAGTATAACAATCATTAGTGCCTCAACAGTAAAATCAGAATCCAGTCTCATCATCCATTATTCCGTATTCCTATGTTCAATTACACTGTTTAATCAAATGCTTGTTCGAACAGCCAGGTCTTCACTTTCCTCCGAAACGCCAGCAGGGAGGAGGCCCGATCTGATATCTGCAGGCAGGGCGTTCCACAGCTGAGGGGCCACCACTGAGAAGACCCTGTCTCTCGTCCCTGCCAAGCGCGCCTCCCTAAACTACAAATCCTAGGATTCCATAGGGTGCAGCCATACCAGTTAAAGTAGAATCATAGCTTTCTAATTCTGTAATGTGAAAGGGTTCCTGGAATGTTGAACAGAGAGACTTGATCAGAACTTCCAGACAAATTTATCAAAACGATGCGGACTGTCACTAGTAAAATGTATATTGTTTCTATAATAACTGTTGACCTTCATGACCGTATCTCCCTTCATGAACCAGCCCGAGCCCTCCGATCTTCGGGGGAAGCCCTCCTTTCGCCCCTGCCAGTTTCACAAGCTCGCCTTTTGGGCACTAGGGAGAGTGGAACTCATTACCCGGAGAGATTAGGAAAGCCCCTGCCCTAGAAAACTTTAAAAAGAACCTCAAAACCTGGCTCTTCCGCTGTGCCTTTGGTGAGTAGGTACATAACGTCACACTATCATTCAGCCTCAACGTTTCTGTCATTGGAGTACACGTGTCGTCGTCCCCCCTCGTGGGAAAGTTTGGTTCCAAAACCGTGTTTTTTTAAACTGAGCTCCCCTTGCAAATAACCTGCTCCTCCTTTTATCTCACCCGAGTTTTAAATCATTTTGAATCACTTTATTCTGCACATGTGGCTTGCCCATTGTCACTGTGATTGTAATTTTATATTGCTAATGTATTTATATGTTTTTTCTTCTTTTATTATGTAATTATGATCTTGCTTGTTGTTTGTGTTCTTGGTTTTACTTTGTTGTAATTTGTTGTTTGGGCTTGGCCTCATGAAAGCTGCCTCGAGTCCCTGTTGGGGGAGATGATGGCGGGGTATAAATAAAGTTTATTATTATTATTATTATTATTATTATTATTATTAATTGAATGGCATTAAATATGCACAGATGTTACTTTTTCGAGAGATGATAATTTCTGAGGGCACAAAGGCCATTTTCCCCATCATTTCCCATTATGTTAAAATGTCCAGAATAAAGGGTTCCTGAGTAAATCAGACACATTAATCTGAGTCTAGTGTGCCTTGGACTATCACAAGAAGGCTTGAATCAATAGGAAGAGTTATGCTTGGTCAGGTAGAATGCAGTAGGGAAAGTGGAAGGCCACATTCCAGATGGATATAATCGTTCCGCAGTGGAACTCTCTGCCCCGGATTGTGGAGGAGGCTCCTTCTTCGGAAGCTTTTAAACAGAGGCTGGATGGCCATCTGTCAGGGGTGATTTGAATGCAATATTCCTGCTTCTTAGCAGGGGGTTGGACTGGATGGCCGATGAGGTCTCTTCCAACTCAATGATTCTATGATTCTATGAATCAAGGAAGCTATTCAGCAATTGATGTTAACTAAAAATGTAGTTTCAATAATCTTTGGCTGAGTTGTTCATCCTCTAGAACAGGGTTTCTTAAACTTTTTTTCTTTCTGCCTGAGATGTAAAATAAACCAATTATTGATAAGAAACCAGTATTTGCAAGGCTTGCTGAACTGGCTGATTTTTGTGAAGTACAGCCTCTTCTGCAGAGTTTAATGTAAACATTGCACAACAGATTGGTGTAAATGTCTAAGACAGCCTTGTCTTTGAATCTTTATGTCAAACAACAACACAACACACTTGTATGAATTGAGCACGAATTGATGAACTTTATTGAACAAAGAAGAGGTGATCCATTCTTCCTCCTGGGAAAACCCATCTTTTAACTCCTCCTGAGCTACAAATCAAAGCATATTTGCAGCAATCAGGGGAAGGCAATGCAGAGAAGGCGAAAAACCCATTTCCACCGAGCGCCAATTTGGGAACAATGGGGAAAAATTCCTTCTCGGCTCCAATTCAGGCAACCAGCTGCGGCCTGCATTGCCAGGTTAAAAGATGGGAATGCTGAGAAAC